GAAGATTGTGTTACGCCAATCTTCTGGGAGAACTGCTCTGTTTGTCTTGTATCCGAAATTGTTACTTTTAATCAGTGACTAGAACAGCTGGTGCCCCCTTCCCCCCGCTGTAATATTTAATTCTTACATAATTCAAAAATTTACTGCAATTCACGTGAAGGCAGCACACTGAACGCTCACAAGCGCTGATTGGCTGACTAAACATTGGCTCTTCCAGCGACACGCATCACGCCCTCTGCTTTTTTGATTGAGGCACGCGAGTGTGGAGAGACGGGAAACAACCTGTTTGCCAATTACACGTGTACGTTCATATACATAAAATTAATAACTATGATCCGGAAAGAAATATATTTATTCGAAGTAGCGAAGTGGTTTTGGTCTACTGTAACCAAGTAGTACAATCTCGCAGGTAAGCGTAATGAACTGGTCCTCGTCGTAGTGGTAGGCCGTAGGCGTAGTCCCTGTACGTCCACACCAGTCTGTATTTATGGCTGACACCAGCCAATCATATTACTGTGAGAGGGAACCCAAGTATATGCATATTCATTACATCAGTAACTCATTCTCGAATTTCCCCCTTATTCTGTTGGTATAATAAGCCGAAGGGTGCACATCCTACGCATCCACCCACAAAAGATGCCCCAACAGCGGGCAATGCCACCTACGTTTGGAATCATTGGTCTTTACTATATATATATATATATATATATATATATATATATATATATATATATAAAACTAGACTCGTTTTGAAAAACCTCGAATTTTTGATTTGCTAATCAAATCAATCTCGAGGGAAAAAAAGGTTTTAAAAAAAGAAAGAGCTACAAACATGGACTTCTGCCGACAAAAAAAAATCGCACAGATGCAGGTCTGAAGCCCAAAGAAAAAACCCCGATACGAGTAACAACTAACTAACAAAAGAGCTCAATACAACCGTAGAGCAGACCTAGATACACCTAGTGAGCCAGACAAACCTACCTAGGTTTCACCTAAACGGATCGTCAGGGAAAGTTTGGCTAACGAGGCAAAGAGAAACACACATATTTATAGGTGATAGCTAAAAAAAAAAAAAAAAAACACACTGAGGTTTTTTTTTTTTTTTTTTGAATAAATATTTCCCCCTCCACTTAGGTTGTTTTGTTTTTTTGTTTTTTTGTTTTTATTTTGTCACGTGGTATGATTTTAGCTATCACCTATAAATATGTGTGTTTCTCTTTGCCTCGTTAGCCAAACTTTCCCTGACGATCCGTTTAGGTGAAACCTAGGTAGGTTTGTCTGGCTCACTAGGTGTATCTATCTATCTATATATATATATATATATATATACACGCACCATGACGTCATCATCGTTTTCAAATGCGGTTACAGTCAGATACATTTGGTCCAATCAATAGTTACTACAAGAAGGCTCTTAATTAAGAAGCTGTTTATTGAGTTCTTAAAACAACAAAACGTGTCTGTCAGCATTGTACAGAAGTGTAACGAACACGGTACAATACCAACAGAGATTACGACATTAAAGAAACATATGAAAACGAGGCTCTATTAAGATTTCACGCTATTAAGATGTTTTTTTTTTTCTTTTTTCGTCTTTTACCCCATTCTTTTCTATTCTATCATTACGCGTGGACTTCAATAGAGTTTGTCGTCTTCTTATGCCTACGATGTTAAATGGTACAGACCGGCTGGTGGCACATAACCAATGCAGAAAGAAAGAAAAAAAATCACTTTTTACTGCCATTAACACGAACATCAAAGGGTTGGCAAGGGAATTAAGCCATAGTGAAATAATCGTTGTGGCATCTCATCGCAGATGATCGCGGCGTAGCTGCCATCGGCGAGGAGAGAAAAACTGTCGTGTCGAGTTCAAATTGAGCCAAGACCGTTGCGTTCACTTTCGAACAGATACACTTGGAAAGGCAACGTTTTTCTTATTGATGGCTGCATTGATTTCTTTCCAGGGTGGGCTGAAAAGTTCATAGGCTGACTATGAAGGAGTGATGCTAGAGACGTGAAATCTTGCATGCAATGATTTCAACTCTTCTTATTAATAACTGCATTGTTTTCTTTCCAGGGTGGGCTGAAAAGTTCATAGGCTGACTATGAGGGAGTGATGCTAGAGACGTGAAATCTTGCAGGCATTCTTTTCAACTCTTCTTATTAATAACTGCATTGTTTCTTTCCAGATATGAGGGTGGGTGAAATGTTCATAGGATGACTTTGGAGAAGTAATGCTAGAACTGGGAAATCTTGTGTGCATTCATTTCCAATATTCTTCTTAATAACTTCATTTTTTCTTTTCAGGTATGAGGGTGGGCTGAAAGGTTCATAGGCTGACGATGAAGGAGTGGTGCTATTAGTATATCCCATGAAAGAGTTGAGAATGTGCTGCACAATGAAACTGGTTTTTGATCGTTGGGTGCCACGTCTTCTGGCATCTGACGAAAAGCGCACCAGGTTGATCGCATCATAGGAAAATCTGATATTGTTTGAGGCAGTTCCAGCTGGTTTCCTTGAGCGTTTCCTAACGCAGGATGAGTGTTGGATTTGAGCTTGAATACAAAGAGACTATTCAAGCAATGGAAACATTTCTCCTCACTTGTTCCATAGAAGGCCAGTATTATTTTATCACCAAGGATAGTTATGGCGACATTTTCTTTTTTTTTTTGGCGTAGGGAAAGCAAAAGACATTGGGTTTATTGAATCTCTGCAAAATGTCTATGGTCTCAATGGAGATACTAAGGAATTTACGAAAGGCCATCAAAACCAAAAGTTCGGGAAAACAGACAATGGGGTCTTGTTTCATCAGGACAGTTCTCCAGCAGCACACCAGTTCCTTGATTTCAATGGTTGCTGTGCGTGAAAGTGGCTTTGAACTGGTTGCTCACCCTCCTTTTTCTCTTCATTTGGCCGCATCTGACTATCATCTGTTCCCCAACACGAAAAAACCACTTGGCTGGGAACTAATATTGCAGTGATGATGACGTCAAAGTCGGGTGACTATTTGACCAACAGGATGAAAGCTTCATCACCAACAAGATCCAATCGCTGCAACGCTCATAGAAGAAGTGTATGCACCGCAAGAAAGATTATGTTGAAAAAGCAAACCTAATTTGGTCGCTTTTCTTGAGAGTATGTTCGTCAGTCGCTGAACCTTTCAGTTAAGCCTCGAAGGAGTTCTTGGGAAGAAGATGACTGAATCGGGGAGGGTGATGTTTACGAGTGGAATACGGAGTAAATTATTCAACCCTGTGAACGTTGCACAGCCGATGTGGTGATTAAACAGAAGTGGAGTGATTAAAGAACCGGGCCTCGTCTGAACATTTGCCATGGAAGTAGCGATAGAGAAGCAATTGGCATCTGACGTTTCGTCTGTGCGGAAAGAGACGGTAGAGTGGAAGATGTCTCTTCTTCACCCCAACTAGGGGTTACTAACAATACAGATTTAGTTTTGTAGCTTTGGTTGGTAACCAGTCTAGGGGAAGAACAACCCAGAGGTCAAAACTGGTTAGGTATGGGCTAAAAATTGCATCCCGTAAAAAAAACTACTTGTTACGCAGAAGAAGAAGCACCCAATGTGCTGAAAGGCTGTGAAGCAATCTTGAAGCCATTTGTCTGTGACCAATCGACTATATATATATATATATATATATATATATATATATATATATATATATATATATATATAAATGGTGGTATTCGTTTGGAAAAACCTCGATAGAAAATTGGGAAATAAAAAAGAAATAGCCAAGAACATTAAACCAAGGCGAAAAGAATCGTCCAGTATTCAAGCTCAAAAAAAAAAAAAAAACGAGCAAAAAGCCGGTATTACCCTGAAGATCAGTTTAGGTGAAACCTATGTAGGTTTGACTGGCTCCTTAGGATTGTCTAGAAGCGAAAATCGCACCGCATCTCATGACGTCACACATGACCACGCGAGAGTAAGTATTAAGTATGGGATGCCGTTGGTATAAACCAATGGCTTCTGTTACCCATTATAGACATTTAAGGAGATTTGTAGAGATTCTATAATTGATTTTGTTATTAAACTAATCAGACGTTATGAAAAGAATTTACATAAAATAGACAACACTTGTCTATATTATTTAATGAAACGTGTATGAATGAAAAGAAGCTGCCTAAATATATATATATATATATATATCTAAATGGAATAATAATAAAAAAAACGAAAGATTATTAATCTACAACACAGTGTGACTAAAGATTTTAATTTTTTTATTTTCTCATTGTTCAATATATATATATATATATATATATATATATATATATATATATATTACGCCTAGAAAAACATGATTTTAAAAGCCATACAAAATTCTCTATAATGTAAAAAAATAGAAATAGACAGAAGCTTAGAAAAATACTAGAGGAACGTGAAGAAAAATGGAGTTTTGCGCCTCAAAACACATTCTCCAGACGTACGTAATCCCAAATTGAACAACACGGAATTAATATATAATCCTATAAATCAAGCCCTATGCTCATTTCCCACCCGCACAAGACAGATATGCTTGTAGAGGTGTTGAGGTCACACAAATATATGCACATACACACATCACACACTCCCAAAAAACTAAATGATAACATGCACTTAACAAACACAGATCCCATTCCCAGCAAACAATAAAACTGTCAAAATGACCAAGGAGGGAATTCTAAAAGTCAGGAATCTCCCATCCTTTATCTTAAAAACAACTTAAAAAACGCCGTTTAACAAACATAAGGACTGACCAAAATTAACGATAAAAAACAAATGAAAACTACAGATAAAGTTCACTTTCAGAGACAGTCATTCACTCCTGTAGTTAATTGCTACTAACAAACTGGGATTTTTCTCCTGATGATGGCCATGCTGGCCGAAACTAGTCGAGGAACCTACTTGAAATAATAAAACAAAAAAAATATTAATACACAAACCAGTGTGTCTGAAAAATTTTATTTTTTTAATAATTTTTATTGTTCAAAACACACACACAAATAAATAGATAGATAGATAGATAGATAGATAGATAGATAGATAGATAGATAGATATCAACAT